TTTAGTTTTAATTCATTATTTGTAGAAGTTAGGCCCGGTTGCGGACAACGTGGGCAGTCAAGAGCACGCTGTATCCTTCAGGGAAGTCATCAGGGTTAACTCCAGCGTTCTTCGATTCCAGGGCAATGCTCTTCAAGTTCTGGCTGTTGACTATGACTTCGTGCAACTTTTGGTACTTGGGGGAACTGACTTCTACGATAAAGTCCTTGAACACGGCGGATTTCCCCACCTTCTCAATGTACAAATCATGGAGTTTATCGTAGGGAATGATTGCCCTCAGGTCCTTCACAAGACCACTGACTCCGTTGCCACTGATTACGACGTAGGTGGACAGAGGCTTGATCGGGTCGAGCTTCAAGGCTTTGTTCAAATGGTTCAGCAAAAGGTAGATGTCCAGGCCGGCTTTCTGGATGTAGTTGGCCAGCTGTTTGAACTCAGGCACTGCTTCCACTTCCTTGACTAAGGCTGAGCTTAGCGGAGATCCGGCGATCTTCAGGAGAGCCTGGACTTGTTTGTCCTGAGCAATGTAGGCTCTGACGATTTCGACGCCTTTCTCCACCGGGAGCACATCCACGAAGTCCTGGAGCTCCTTGGCGAGAGCACCTGAGCCTGCTGGGGGCACCTTCCAGGCGGTTGCGAGGGGACCGGCTGCTGCCAGAACGACCAAAGCTGCTACTACGAATTTCATCTGCGAGCAGAATTTTTATTGACACTTTAATTGGTTTTATGAAACGTTGGGAGAAATAAGGATGTGATGCAAAGTGGTTGTATAAGGTGACATATTTAGTAACACAATACCTGACAGATTTATAAAACAAAATTTGATATAGTAATATGTTCATGACTACTCGCAGCTATGTTTAGATCCATTCAGATCATTGCCTTGAAAACTTTGAAATCTATTTCTTTCAGATCAATATTGATCCTTTTCTTGGATCTAATACGGACGGTTTATGGCCGGAATTATTTTAGATTTTTTATTTGACAGTTATTGAAATTGTAATGATGCTTCTGACATAATAATAGAATATCCGCAGGAATTAAGTAGGAAAAAGTTTAATTGTCGGACAAGTCTGAACTGTACAGGAAATTACTTTCACAATGTCAAGAAACAATTGTAGTGCTGTACAATTTAATCATAAAATTATGCATTCTGATTCCAAAAGATTGAGGAATTAAAAATATAGAGATGACGATAGAATTTAATATAGGAGGGTATTTACAACAGAAATCTGCACTTTATATAGTGAATTATTTTCACAAGGTACAAGGAAACATTTTACACAGTACAGAACAGTGACAACTTGTTAGATAATGTTGACAGTATTCTATTGATATGTGTTAATTGGATACTCGCCTTGAGGCTTTGAAGTTCTCGTTCCTGCGGTTCTGAAGAAGATTGATGCTAGGTCAGTCGGTCGTCGAGTTTATATGATAGCATCCCACTCTCGAATCTGCACTATCTTTAAGTAGATGATCTACACTATCATTAAGCTAAGATTCATCTTATTGTTCCACATGAACGTGCTTTCCTGTCAAGTTCTTCTAAATTTCTTATTAGAAATGGAACTACAAAAATTGATTCTTAGAAAACTATACGTGGAGTACAGTAAATTCTCCCTAGAAGGTCCGGAGCTTGGAATTGCATATTTTCGGAGCGAGTTTCCGTTCAGTGACGGTAGCGAAGTATCCGTATGGATACATACCGAAGTATGGAGCTGCCGTAGCGAAACAGTTAATCAGAAATATTTCAAAGCGGAGAAATTCTGAAATGATATTCAGTCTATACACATATTTTCAAAGGCGGAGAATAGGCTTCAACGGCACCGTAAATTTTATCGTTGAATTTGATTTGCAATGCATTTCCGCACTTTTCACTTTCTCACTCGTAAACTAATGGTTATTGCATCAAGAAAGAAAACTGTGGTTTAAGGATGAGTAATGTTCAATTAAGTTTCTTATCAATTTCCGGCAAAAATTCCATTTGAAATTCATTGTGAAATTCGATTAATATTTATGCATGTCCAGGATGATTAGGCTTTAGATAAAATGGTCCATCGATCGAGTACGAACAACGGTTATATCGTGTCCAATAATCTCATCCTATCGAATTCTTTTCTTCATATAGAGTGCAGCCATCGTGTAGTGAGCATCATCAACTACTAAACATTGAAATCGAAGCAGCTACACTCAAAGTAAACATGATCCTGACATGTTTTTTCATATTTCAATTTTTAAGTTACATTGATTTATACAATTTTTGCAATTATTGGTACAAAGATTCTGTATATTAATTTCTATACCACATTGTCTGCAAGAATACTAAATTGTAAAATGTAAGCACTACAAACTATTCATAAAGTCTTTCGCTTCAAAGATCTATTATTTTACCAAATAATACAGTAGGGAATAATTGATAAAAATTTCATTGCCGCAGCATGAGATTGGATTAATTTGCCAATCCATACAGTCACTTTAATATTTTATTCACAAACTATACAGCAATAAAGCAATTATAAATTGTCCATTCAACAAAGATTATCCAAGTCGTCAACTTAAAATCTTATTGATCGAACCAATCTCAATCAAAACCAATCAATACGCACACCTGTGGGCCCAATTGACCCAGATTCTGATTTTTTTCCAGATGAAATTCGCAGTGTCAGTATTGTCTGTCTTGGTCTTGGCCACCGCGGTCTCAGCGCTTATAAGCTGCCAGCAACAGGTTCAGGAGAGCTTGCCAAGGACCTGCAGGACTTCCAAGACCTGATACCTATGGAGAAGGCAAACAAGCTGGTGAGAGCATACCTGGCTCAAGACAAAGAATTCCGGACTGCCGTAGAGGTTCTCAACTCCAAGGAGCTGAACCATTTCATAATGGATCTCGAGGCTGCACCCGAATATGCCGAATTGTATGCATTCATGCAGAAAGCTGGTCTCGATGCCTATTCTTTGTTGAAAGAATCAAACGAGTTGCTGGAGAATCGCCGATTCCTCGCTACGGACTTCGCGGATACTCGGATCACCGGAGGACTCCTAGGTTTCATCATAGACTTCAACTCTCTCGTATCCGTCGAAAAGACGCAAGCACTTCTTGAAGAAAAGTTAGCAGCCGGTGGCGCGGTCGCTGAGTACTACAAGATCTCCTTAACACGTTCCGTGCCGAGCTTTTTTTACTCGAATCTTCACACTTTGATATTTTACTAAAACTTGACGTATTACGTGCAATTATTAATTCTCGTACACATAACAACGTAACAAAAACTTATCAACGCCCATTCTTGCGGTGGAAATTGATTCTTCGGTTCTAAATTTCTTGTAAACAATTTGTTCAGTTCACTAAGTAAACATGCAAGCGTGTACCATCGATGGTACACGTGGCACGGAACGTGTTAAGCCA